TGGACTATATAGACATACTTAAGTCACATATTTGTCCTGACAAATAGCAACAAAGATTTTTCTGGAAGACGTGATTAGGTAGTTTAATGTAATTTCAGTACAGCATTAATGAGTATTACATATACTTATGACTAAAACTACATGGATGTCTATGAACACAAGTATTTGATTTATGCAGCCAGAATGATCAGATGCACTTCTCTGTGCACCTCTGGCTGCAACTGCTCAGCTCTTCAGTTCCAAAGTTGGTGAGATTAGCAGCAGGTATGATCTTGTCCATCTGCTGAAGATGAACAGCATATGCTCCGAATACTGTCAAGTACAAGTAGCTTATGTTGTGTCAGTAAATAGCCTCAGAAAGAGTGAAAAAAAGTGGGCAGGGAAGCAGGTGAGGGACAGATCCCTGATTGCTGAAACATACACTCCTTGGGATGTAATGCTGTGGGGTATGCACACATTCATTGGTTGGCCTTTGCCAGTTTTCATCTTAATATTGTGGAAAAATAACATTCTGAATGCATATAGAAAAGGTTCTTGCACCTTCTAGTACTCAGCAAGGGCAAGATGTGCTCTTAAGAAACTCAGAATAATATCCAGCCGTGGGCTGAACTTCTGATGCTCGACTGATGTTGATCTAAGCCAAAACCCTAACCTGCTGTGCTATGAGACCAGCTGAATACTGTCCACCAGACCTTGAAGGTCTTCCTTTGCCCTTCTGTCTCTGCAGTAAACTTACAGATGTGAATTGCTGTTCCTCCTGTAATATTCCTTGGATATTATTTTAATGCTGGTTTTGTGGGGGTTTTGCTCATTTTGTTTACCCTTTCCACCTTTTTCTGCCACTTCTTTCCCATAAATAATCTAAAAGTATGTTCTTCCTTGTCATAACCATACATTCGTAAGCTCCAAAGATGTCTTTACAGGCACAGTGGAGCAAAGAATGAGACACTGTACCTAATCGCAAATTCAAGCACTGCTTAAGCTTGGAAAATGTAGTGAAATTAAAAAAAAAAAAAACCAAAACCAAACACCCACCCCCCCCAACAAAAAACAAAAACAAAAAAACCACAAACCCCCCACCCCCCAAAAAAAACCCCACCAAAACAATCAACTAAAAAACAAAAACAAAATCAACCAAAAACAACTAAACAAAAGAAGCCCCCAAAAACCTAAACCAAACCCTTAAGATTTTCAGGTCACGGGTTCTTCTTTTTTCTTTAGCTCCCACTGCTATCACGTGCTTTACAAGAGGACTCGACCTTAGAAAGGGGACAGAAGATGTCCTTTGCCCAGCAAACTGTCCTCTGTGGCAATTTTATGTCTTTGGGGATGGAGTTTATGCTTCTCTTTCCAGTATCTGTGGAGCTGCCATACACAGGTAAGTCAGATGACTGCTAATCAATGTGTTAAGCAAGTTCATTTAGTCTTGCCACACTTTTAAATCTTAACTGTTTGACACCATCATAATGAAGATATTTCTGGACTTCAGGAGTCCTATTAAGTCAATAGCAACATCACTAGGAGAAAAGAGAACAAGGAATAAAAGAATGGGTGGGCAGTTTGCCAGTTACCCAAGTTGTGCTTAAGTGTAGCTGAAAACCACTTTATTAACTTTCTCTGTAAGTGCCACTCAGGCATGGGAAGCTAGAGTGCAAATAGTAACTAATCGAAGAATAAAAGCAGATTTGCTTTCAGGCTTTCATTTACATGACCTTTTTCCTGAAATTGAAATTGGTTTAAGCTCCCGTGCAAACAGACCTACCCGTGATTTGGCTGAATGATTACTTTTAATCAGTGTTATGGGGTTTTTCTATGTTGCAGTGTTTCTCTTGTGACAGTTGCTTGCTGGGTGTTAAGTCTTCTTAATGCTCTCCTAATGAGACTAGTATCTGGCTGAATTCACTTCTGTATCAAATAAAAACTTAGACTAAGAAAAATATCCTGATAACCCATGTTAAACAGATGTTATTAGAAAAGCAGTAATTACACAGGGGAAGGGAAATGGGCTGGCAGCTACGTTATTGAAGTTATCTCTGGGGTTTTGAGGGTTGTTTGGGGGGAGGTTGGAGTGTTTTCTGTTTATTTTGAGGAAGGACAAAGGTTTAGTTACTTATTTGCAAGAAAAATTCTCACAGATACAATTTTTAATAAGGAAATGTTTGGCAAAACCAGCTGGAGACAGTGAGGTACCTATATCAGATGTCTGGAAGCCAGACTAAATCCTGACTACAGGGATTTTCAGACTTTGATTTTAATACTTTGAGAAAGATTTTTTGATTATTAAAGAAGGGGTTTTAGCTTCATTTATTAACAGGCTGTGCAACATATTTGTTCACTTATACCTTTCACAATATGCTTCCTACCACAAAGTAGATTCAAAACTTTGTAAAGTGTTACGACTCTTAAGACAGGACTGACATTTCAGGAACAGAAATTTGGATTAGACATAGAGAAAAGTCTAACAATAAGGACAGAGTCTATTCAGAAACTTATTTTAAGTGTCAATTTAAATCCTCTAACTTTTAACAAGACTGTCAAAATTCTGGCTATTGTTAATAGTATTTAAACTCAAAAATAAACTAAAATAATCTATTTTTAAAAATTGGATTTAATGAGGGGTTTTGAGTAGAAACTGTGGGACTTCATGAATGCTGTAAAGGAGAGTATAAGCTAAGGTACTATAGAAGCAGTTGGAAAGGACTTGGGGGGGAATTGTGTGGGTCTGTGTGTATTTGTTTTTAAAGCTTAAGAGTTTCAAACATAATTGCATGTCTCCATGTGTGTTTTATTGCTAGAACAGGCTTCTCTTTGATCCTTCTGTAAAAAGAATGAATGCCCCCATTCAGTGTGCTCTGTGTCTTCATGAGTATTTAAAAAAAAAAGTTAGACTTCAGTTCTTCACTTTTCCTAGTTTAAGTATATATAGAAAACTTGTGAAAGAATGTCTGGATCAAATTAGAGGGTTGGGGGGGTTGTGGTTTTTTTGTTAAGGTTATCTAGGAAAACAGATTTCTTCCCACTGTCTTTTTCCTAAGACAATGTTTGTATTTACTGATGTAGCCATTTATTTTAACATTCCGTTGAAATACTGGTTGCCAAAGATGCCCTTACATAAAAAGGGGAAAAAGGCTCTTACTTTCAAGACCTTTTTCCAAAGGGATTAAAGACTTGAGCATTTTGAAAAGTTGCAGAAGTTTCTAACCAGTTAAACTAGGCAGCAGTCTTTAACCTCCCATGCCAGTGATGACTGCAAGTGTTACGGAGGTCCCAGCAAGAAAGCTGGTGGGGCTCAGTTGTGTCACAGCTGGAGAATACTTTTACAAAAGGGGGAGGTACAAGAAATGGAAGACACAGATTTCTTTTTCTGGATTTGCAGGGTCTTCCCTAGGTAATAAAGCACAGGCATTTATACATTACTTTTCTCTTCACTGAAGTCTGAATCTTACAAACTATGTGTATTACTGTTCTCTGCCCAGCAGCATAGGAGTATAGAAAAAAAATCCGTATTTTTCCATAGTAAGTGTCAATATAAATTATACTATTTGTGAAATGCGCACCCCATTTGTAAAACCTGCATCTAGTAATCCATCTCCACAGACATTGTGAGAACAATGAGGGCTCTAATAACAATGAAGGGTTTAAAGTATACTCCCACTTCTAATCTGTGTCTTCTAGGAAGGATGTAAATTAACAGTGTTCAAGCCTTATGAATATGACAGTGTGCAAAGTGTTTTGAAAAAGCAAGAATATAGGTGAAAATCTTCTATTTAGGAGAACTGCTGTTTTGAAGACTACCTTTCAGATGGGAGATGTTAGTCCTGTTGGCCTTTCATACTTTGAACAGAATTTGCTAAATGAGAACATTCTGGTTTTGCTGCAACTATTAGTAGCCATAAATGCTATCCATGGTAAAAAAGGATTGATGAATGGAGGAGAGGCAATAGCTTTTTAGTTCTCGGCTAATTTCAGTGCAGACTGCAAAGTCCAACAAAAACATACAAAGCACTTGTTCCTTCTTGCTCTCTGTTGCAACGGCTAAACTCCATATTGCTGTCAAAGTAATCCAGAGAAGATATTGTTGGTGGGTAATCACCATAATTTGCTGTTACCCTAATGTAACTAGGTACGTGCTTTGAGAATTTTGTAAGTTTCTTCCAAATAAGCAAAACAACCACATCATGTTTCAGACTAGGTATCCCCTACATCACCTTGCACAGTGCATACAACATAACTGTACCTTAGGTACAGCTGAGTGACAGGCCTGTGCCTTTACAATGACTGTGGCTGTTATGGAAAACGTGGTCAGGCAACCGTCCACTATTTCTAGCAGCGTCAGTCTTGGGAGCAGTGCTTATCTATTGGGGTTTTTTTTCAACACTGAAAATGATCATGTGAGTGTGGCTCAGCTCCCCCCTTTGCATACACTCCAGTTTGTGTGCCAGGTCCAAACTGAGGCCTAATTCCTTAATTTTATATAAACCAAATAATGCTTATTCCCATGAGTAGTTCCATTACTGTGAGGCAATTATTAACACAGGAGAATACTGTACAATGCATGTAAAGAATTTAGCAGAATTCAGCTATGGATAATTTTGTATTCTATAGATGAATATGTTCTCTGCCTGTTTTAGTTTGTTATATTTGGCTTTTTCTCTCCTTATTTTATGTGTAATTACTCTCAGGAAACAGAATATTTATTTAATATTGTTCTTTTTCTGGGCAGAAGAATAGAAGATTTATTTGTGGGGGAAGAATGGAGAACCTCCTACCAGGCTGACACTATGTAGGCATGAAGAACTGAGTTAAATCTACCAATGAGTGATTAATTGGATTAATAATTGGAAGGTCAAACGAAGGACTAGGTTCTCAGCTTGTGCAGTTCTGTGCTAGTGCCAATTCCACTTAATGGTGACTGAGCCCAATGTGGTAGTTCTTGGATGCTAAATAGGCATGTAAATTTTTTTCAGAACATCCCTAACTAACCACAGAACAGAACCATTAAACATCAGGGGCCCAGAATTCCAGTGTAATGAAAGCATATTATGGTATTACCAAGCTGGCCAGAAAGTCACCTCAAGCGTGAATGGCCCTGAGCTGTCTTAGTGTTTACTAGAAGAATATTTACAAAAAGGTTATCTGGCCAGAGGGATTTCTGAGCAGCTGTAGATCTCCTGGGAAACTTCGGTATGGTGCCTGCTTCTGCTGCTGAGCCTTCTTTCCTACCAAAAGCAATAGGGATCCAGAGGAGACAGAGCACAGCATAGGAAGGCAGAGGGTGCTGGCATGAAACTCTGAGCGGCTCTGTGTCAGTGATTGAAGGCACACAGGCAGCAGCAGGAGACTGCAGTTTGGAGGAGGATGCTTCTTAGAGTAATGGAGAAAGGTAGATGATGTGGAAGGATTTTGATGCAGCTGCTAATAGTAGGAAGGAAAGGTGGGAATCCAGGTAATTCAGCTGTCTTATTTGAAGTCCCTGAGGACAACCGTTTTCATCCAAGGACCCTATACGACATGCTGGCTGCTCTCCGTTAGCAGTGGGAACAGGAACTTTCAGGTCAAAATTATGCTCTTGGGTAGCACAGCAGCCCTTCATCTTTCTGCTCTCTCCCTTCTGCTGAAAAAGCAGATAGCCTACCTGTAGACATATATGATGAGTATAATTAACATAAAAAACATAACAATGAAAAATTTACCCAGAGGAAAAATATTTTCAACACGTGAAACACCTTGTGTTTCCTCTTTCTTTTAACAGGATGGTATTTCAGCTTTCTACTGCTGTGTCTAAGATTACTGACTGCAGTTACATCTGTAAGGGTGATCTCCCATGGCTGGAAGAGTCTCTTTGTGGTGTAGGCATCAGTTCTGATGTGCAGGTCCCTTGAAAAACACATTCAAAATTCAGCAAGGGCAAGCCAGCCCTGCATTTCTTTCTCTGAGAGAGCAGATAAACAGTTCTTGCACTTTATTTCGAGGAGGTGCATGAGGCTCTAAAGCTTCAATCCCCTCTGCTCATTTACGTGAAAGCATATTTTAAAATCTGTTTTAGATTAAATTCCTATATTTGATAAGATTTTTCCCGTATCTTCTGCTGCCCTTGGCCAGTATACTTTCTTCCATGAGCTACTGTGCAGTAAGGTACAGGATTGCTTCCTTGTGTATCTGCTTTTCTGTTTAATTTGTGTGCATTTTTGAATGAAAAAACCATTTAGTTATAAGTAACAGTTTGTTATTAACAGTGAAGCTAGGCAAGAGAATGGACTGAGAGCTTTGTATAAAGTTGCTGTCAAGCAGTGCTGGCAGCAGCATGAAACATAGTGTGTAAGGAAGTGAAAGCTGTTCCTGGAAAATCTGCGGAGTTCCAGTTTAATCAGAACAGCCATGGCATGCAAGTCAGTCACACAGGAGCAAAGAACTCAAAGCAGATTGTAATGATATAAATCACTCTGAGGAAGTGCATAGGCACCTCTTCACTCTTTAGATACCATTTTGGATCTACACAGGATGAATCTCACTTTAAATCAATCGTAAAGGATTTCAGAAGGGAATTTGTCAATCTTAACCAGAATACAATGGCAGACTGGCAATATGGTTTATTCCATTTTAAGCTATAAGTATGCACTCTTGAGTAAACTTGCTGGAAGAAACATCACAAGAAATACTGACCTGACTGTAAAAGATGGCTTAAAGTTTACCTACAGACAAAATGGCAAGAAGAGGAATAACTTCCATAAAGCTATAGATCATGTTATATTCACATCTAATATCATCCCTCCATCTGCATTAAAATAGCAGAGCTGTTACATGGAAATGGTGTATTGTCAGAAGGCAGTCTAGATATTTATGACTTGTGATGAAATATGAAATCAAATGTTTTCTGTGCACATATAAGGAGAAAATAAATCTACTTCAGTTTCATTGGAAAGCTTCCAGATTCAGTGGAGACTAGATTTTTATTATTTTTTCCCCCCCCAGAATGATTAATTAAAATGAAGAGACCAATAGACAAATGGAATAATATAGACAAAATTGGTTACACTTTGTCTAAAATAAGCTAATATTATTGCTTCTGGGAATAATTCTTATGTTGAACTGTCTTGAGTTTAATTCAGCCAGTGTTCAAAGTTGTGAGTCCACAACAAAGGAAGTGGGAAGGGATACTAAGCTCTTCTTGTGAGCTAACTTGGGCATAGGCTAGGTTTGCTGGTGTAAACCCAAAGTAGCAAGTATAAACTTAAACTAGAAACTGTTCCAATCACATAGATTCTATTTCTGGCACATTTCAGTATCTATTAAGACTGAGACACTAGTGAAGACTTGAATGCCAAAAAGAGCCAGGTACTAGAGAAGAAAATTATATTCTAAATAGATTGAAATATTCTAAATATATTAATGTGATATTTTTCTCAAAGACAGTATTGCCTTACTGAATTTTCCTGTCATTTTAAAAAAACCAACCAAACAAAAAACAGTTAGAGGCTCTGCTCTGATTTTTTTTTTTTTCTCTCACAGTTTTTTCAAAGAACTGTAGAGTGCTGTTTGTATTTGCCAACTTTAGAATCTGTTTTTAAACTCAGGGTAACTTTACTAAAGCTCCTCTGTCTATACCATACACAGTGTTCCTAGATGAGAAAATATCTGTATGTTTTGAAACTACTATCATAATCTTCCAAGTTTCAAGAATTATATATATATATAACTGTGGCTCAATTCAGAAATGCAAATCGTATCCATTATTCTACTTTCACAATGTTTTCAAGTAGATTAGACTGAGACCTCTTTTCAAGCAGAAATCCAAATAGATTAAAAAAAATAAACACAGAGGTGCACGTTGCTGTGTTTAAATAGCGTTGAAATGGTTGTCTCCCACAGTACTCTACCTGCCCAAGTACTACAAAGAATCAAGCTGCTTCTCCCTCTTAGAGAAGCTCAACATGTGATTTTGTTCTCTAAAAATAATAACTGATCTTTCAGTTGCACGTAAAGAGTTCTGAACAGTTCTGATGCCTGTCTGGCAGTGTTCAAGGCCAGGCTGGACAGAGCTTGGAGCACCATGGTCTAGCAGAAGGTGCCCCTGCCCATGGCAGGGGGGTTGGAACTAGATGATTTTAAGGTCCCTTCCAACCCAAACCATTCTATGATTCTATTATTGTCACTTAAGGCTTGGCATGTTTGTGAAGTATCACTCTTCCGCATCAGTCTGAACACTGCCAGAACTTTAGAATTTCCCCACTTTATTTTTTTTTTTTTTCCCCCCTAAGCCAGTGTGATGCTCCATAAGACAGTTTATTTTAAACATCTTTTCAGCAACTTGTGGCTTGTTTTAGCCTGAATACAACTGCCTGCCTACGTGGCATCTTTCTGAGGAGGCTGGTGTCCAGTACACTAACGATGGTGTAATTGTATTGAATTTTCTTGTGATTTATAACAACTCTTTTTGTATCTCAGGGGCGTGATCACCAGTGCAGGAGGAGCTGTAAGGGTACAGACTCTTCCAGGACAGGAAAACTACCCTGCTGTAAATGCCAATGGGATCCAGTCTCAGGTGCTCACTAGATGGGCTTCATCTTTCTCAGTGACTGGTAGGTGGATCACACTAGTTTGCAAACTATATTTGAAATATTAACGGAAATGTAGGAAACTTCTTCAATGGTCCTGTAAGCAATCACATTTGTTAATGCTATCTGAAGTGTAGTAACAAAAGTTTTCACTTTAATTATTTAATTGGCATTTTCCCACAATTTCCAGCTAGAGTAGCTAGTCTGTAGGAGAAGCCAACACATAAAACCGGGTTACAGTTATCTAGAATATAACGACATGACAGTAGGCAGTTGACAGTGCAGTTGACAGTGCACTTCCATGACAGATTAAGCTGACTAAATCAGTGCTTCCATCCTGCTGTCGTGATTCAAGCCCAGCCGGCAACTTGGAACCATGCAGCTGCTCGCTCACTCCCCCCCGGGACACCTGCTGTTGCAGTCCTGTCCTGCTACCACTTCCAGCTATAGTTTTATCCCTTCTCTCCCCCTGCCTGCCTTTGTGGAGGCAGTAGCACTTGTTAGGCGCTTCAAAGAGCTTATGCAGTGTTCCCTGTAAATAGAACACTGACCCTCCAAAACAAGGGATAGTGCCAAATTAGATGTGATGTGGTCATGAAGCTACAGTGTGACACTTTTTCAGAAGATTTTTCTGTGAGATACTGTGCCCACTCGCAAACCAGTTATAAATTGTATAAAGAAGCCTACTGGTTATACATGTTGTCATGCTTTCAATAGAAGTTTTCTGGTATATTTTTTCTAAGTTTGGGAAATGTGTATCTCTAGTGTGTTCTTATTTACACAGGTAAAATTCAGCCTGCTATCTTAAGATACTAGTAATCCTTGTGTAGTGTCCACTGCATATTAATAGTTAAGAACTTGGAATTATAGGTGCTATTGGTGAGAGTCTAAGTGAAATCCACTTCTCCAGATCAAGTCCTGAGTTTATCTGCTAGAAAAAATGATTACTACAGCTCAAACCTTCTCATCAGCTAGATATGATGTAATTATTCATAAGCTACTGTTGTTTCAAATGCAAAAGCTTGGAGAAGTTCATTACCTGTAAAACAAGGAGTACAATACTGGATTACACCAAAGATCTGTGTCCTACTCCTAGATTAGCTAATAGCAGATGAAGAAGAAAGATTACTGGAAATACAGTATTCTTCAAGCACCTGTAATTCTGTTTAAGTACACTAAAATACAGTAAATTTATTCTTCCAATATTTAAACAGGCATCAAGAACACAGCGCTTGAATCGGTTGGACGATCGGTATCAACAGCACGTCCTTCTACAGGTATGAGGGCTCTTCAACAAGGGAAGCCTCTTGTAATAGGATGTGCTACACTGCATGAATCCCTGGCTAAAATGACATCTTTCATATGATTAATTTAATTTTAAAGAAGAAAACATACAATATTTGTTCTTGTGGTATATCTTTCACCAGCAAAAAGAGGAAGCATTTGTAATTGAGGAGATTGATTCTGATTTCAATTAAAAAGCAAATTTGAATTAATTTAGAAAAGTAATATAGATAGCATAAAGGAAGGAAAGAGTTCATGAGCCCATGGGATATTTGTTCCTATTAAGTGACAGAGAAGACGGAGATAACACATTCTTTCTTACAGAACTGCTTAACAGCTGAATGCTGTTAGAACTTGTGTAGCAGAAATTCAGGTATGTGAATTTCTCCACAGAAAATGCTGCATTAAAAGGCTAGATCAGTTTTTATGAAAGTTAGTAGTGTATAAATACTGAGCTTGGGATGTTGTTTGTGAATAGATTATCTGCTTTATAGTTGAAGTTGTGGTTTGCTTCCAAAGCATTAGAACTGCACACTGTACACCACGATTGCTGAGAAATGGTAGCACTTGGGATGGTGAGCTACAGCAATCTACCCAGCTTTCTACATTTCAGTAATCAGCTAAGCAGGTTAAATTTTTTCATTTGAAAAAGAATATGCTCTAAGGAGTAAGGCAGTAGTAGTGCAAGTTTAAACTGATTGTCAATCCTACTGCAGATAGATTGCAATGCAATTCTTGGAGTCTAAGCAGTTCTGGTTCACTTTTGGTCATTCATCTTCTTGTTCTTACATGATCCATGCTGTTTCCTTCACTGAAGGTAAAAGACCTAAGAAGCCACTTGATAAAAAGGCTGGAAACAAAGGTAAGAACTTATTGATTTAATTTTTGCAAAGCAGAATCATAACATTTATTTGTTGTTAAGTCTAATTATTTTGGATGTTCACAGACTGTAAAGCTGATATTGCATTTCTCATTGATGGAAGTTACAACATTGGCCAACGTAGATTTAATTTGCAGAAAAACTTTGTTGGAAAAGTAGCTGTGATGTTAGGAGTTGGAACAGAAGGGCCTCACGTTGGAGTTGTACAGGCCAGGTGAGAACAGATCTACACAAAAGAAAACTGAGTGATTAATAAGACAGTTAATATATCTAACCCTATATTGCAGAACAGTATTCAATCAATAATAGCTGATGAATAGCAGAAGAAAGCAAACTTTCTTGAGCTGTAGCACAAGGTTTCTCTATTGCATGATTCATCATTAAAGTCCATTCCTTTCCCCTGCCTTTAGACAGCTGTAGAGTAGATGGCTGATCCTGATTTAAAGACCTAGACTTGCTTTTATAGTCACTAGAAAGATGTTAAGCATTTAGCTTACCATCTGGCGTGTTCAATTTTTTTTCTGTATATATTTTCAACCTAATGTTTTCAGCTGTTTGATGAATCTAACAATCGTCCTGTTCTTAATTCACCCACCCAGGTAAATAATTCCTCTTGCTAAGGGTTGTGAGAATTAAGTGAGGAGCATACTTCTATTTTAGTAATTAAAAATATAGAGAAGATCATACATTACTAAGAGCAGAATGGCTCAAAGTGTACTTTAGCTTGCTAATGCCGTAGCAGTATGAAAAGTAAACTACTTAATTACTGTTTTATTTTTCCTCAGTGAACATCCAAAAATTGAATTCTATCTGAAAAACTTCACTGCTGCAAAAGAAGTTTTGTTTGCCATAAAGGAATTGGGGTTTAGAGGAGGCAATTCTAATACAGGTGATTACATACTTCCATGCAAATAGAAATTACTTCTTTACATATTTTTATATATTTATGTATGTGTGTGTATATACTGAAGTTCTTATAATTCACTTTAGGTAAGGAAGTGTTTTAAATGCCATACTCAGATTCAGTGGTTTTCCACTAGAACATTGCCACATCTTACACTTCATTTCCAGAAGTTAGGGTTACTTATTACACATTTTATTAGAGTAGATATGCAAATATCACTTCATGGTATTTAAATCAACTTTTCACTAATAATAGGGTGGTATCTTGAGACAGTTTCATTTCTAAAAGACTTAGCATTTCTTTCTTGTTGAGTGGGTAATTAAAAAGTGAGAATAAATTTGGAGTAAGTGGTTGTGAAGAAATGTTTGCCAAATGAGGACAACTGAGCATTCCAAATACGTTGCATTTCACAAGCTAAATTTAGGTAGCTCCTCAACTTTCTCCCTTCCAATCTATTTGACAGGCACTAGTAGATCTACTTCCTAGTACCAGTCTAGACTTGTGGGCGAAAAAATGTCAGTGATTTCTTCCTTAGCTTTATCTGGTCATTTTTTGTGGGTGGTTTGGTTTTGGTGTTGTCTTACTGGGCTGCATCAAAAGGAATGTGACCAGCAGGTTGAAGGAGGTGATCCTGCCTCTCTACTCTGCTCTTGTGAGACCCCACTATTGTATTGTGTACAGTTCTGGTGTCCTCAACATCAGGATATGGAGCTGCTGGAGCAAGTCCAGAGGAGGGCCACCAGGATGATAAGAGGGCTGGAGCACCTCCCATATGAAGACAGGCTGAGAAAGTTGGGGCTTCTCAGCCTAGAGAAGAGAAGACTGCATGGAGACCTCATAGCAGCCTTCCAGTATCTGAAGGGGGCCTATAAGGATGCCAGAGAGGGACCTTTCATCAGGGATTGTAGCGATAGGACAAGGGGTAATGGCTTTAAACTTAAACAGAGGAAGTTTAGGTTAGATACAAGGAAGAAGTTCTGTACAGTGAGGGTGGTGAGGCACTGGAATGGGTTGCCCAAGGAAGTGGTAAATGCTCCATCCCTGGCGGTGTTCAAGGCCAGGTTGGACAGAGCCTTGGGCGACATGGTTTAGTGTGAGGCATCCCTGCCCATGGCAGGGGGTTTGGAACTAGATGATCTTAAGGTCCTCTCCAACCCAAACCATTCTATGATTTTGAGTTGTTTTGTTTTTTAACTTACAGGTTGCTCAAGTGTCATTATCAAATCTCCTGCGACACTATTTCACTTCTACACTGGGTTAGGCCTGCAATCGTAACAGAAATCCCTCACAGTTTCATGAGGAAACTAGTACCAAAATGTACCATTATGGTATGCATTATTTCTTCATATTGTTTTCCTGTTCAAAACTAGGGAAAGCTTTGAAGCACACAGCTCAGAAATTCTTCTCTTTGGAAAATGGAGCACGCAAAGGAATTCCCAAGATCATTGTAGTGTTCCTAGATGGCTGGCCATCGGATGATCTAGAAGAAGCTGGGATAGTGGCCAGAGAATTTGGAGTCAATGTGTTCATTGTATCGGTAGCAAAGCCCACAACAGAGGAGCTGGGAATGGTACAAGACATTGGTTTTGTTGACAAAGTAAGAGAGAATATCATTATTTGTTTTTCTGTCATGGGTATAATTCTGGAGAATTTACTTCACACTAAAATTCTAATGAACTAATTAACATATGTAAGAACTTCTTTATATAAAAATTATATATATATATATACAAAATTATCTCAAAACAACCAATGTAATTATGCCTGCTAATAAGTGATTTAAAAGAATGGTACTAGGGAAGTGAAAGAATCACCAGAGTTTTTTTCCTGCTAAAGGGGCTGCACAAAGTTACCACTGTTCCCCCAGTTCAGTCTTGGCCAAGTTGTATCTCCTGGACTTTGTAATTACATGAAGATTCTCAGTGTAGGAGAATTTCCTATCTCTGGTATTGTTAAATGTGCCAAAGCAATGATATGCAGATATATCTCCTGTCCCGAAATAGCAGACAAGGAGGCATATCTTTCTATGGATAATTGTTTACTTACTTTCATTACAGTGAGGACAGGAAATAAGGAAAAACAAACAAACAAGATCATGCACAAGATATTAATCTTGGATGAAGACTTCTGGATCTTGTTCTGTATGATTTAGGGCAGAAATTCAAACACAGATCACGTACTCCCACGTGAGCTTTCATCTCTAGGTCTTTACTTACTACGCTCCAGTGAGAGAACCTCTCATTTTCCACAGGGAGCTTTTAGATGTCTAGTTTCAGTGGGAATTTCATAGCTCAGGGCGTGAACAGAATGAAGCACTGCACCTCTGCTGCATCTAGGCATAAGACAGCTTGCTGCTGCTCCCAGGCCCAACCCTTACATACTTATAGGCACAGAATGACACAGCCTTACATGGATGAGGCCTACCCTCCCCCCTTCTGCATTTTGGTCTTAGCTAGATTAGTTGTGACCCTGGAGAGCTGATTTAAAATTTAACCCCTTTCTCAATTACCTTGTACTTTACATGCATCTTAAGGAAGCCAGGGGAAAAAGAAATTTCACTTTGAATGACCCAGAGCAGTATTTCTAACCAACTGTATGTCTGTGTTTATGACACATTACAGGTTTCAGACTTCAACTGTAGATGTTTGTCCTCAATTTCTTTAAAAACAAGCAAGCAAAACCCTATCCCAAATTCCCACCATCAGGTTCCATTTCTAACCTGCCTTTGAAAGAAAATCACATAGGTGTCTGTTATCCAATCAGCTGCTTTGTCAGTATTCACCTGCTGACTTCTTGTTTTCAAACAGGCTGTCTGTCGAAACAATGGCTTCTTCTCTTACCAAATGCCCACCTGGTTTGGTACTACCAAATACGTAAAACCTCTTGTCCAAAAACTGTGTTCACATGAGCAGATGTTCTGTAGCAAGACATGCTACAACTCCGTGAACATCGCTTTCTTGATTGATGGTTCCAGCAGTGTTGGAGACAACAACTTCCGCCTTATCCTTGAATTCATCAGCAATGTTGCAAAGGCTTTTGAGATCTCTGACATTGGTTCCAAGATCGCAGCTGTGCAGTTCACATACGATCAGCGTACCGAGTTCAGCTTCACAGACTACAACACAAAAGAAGAGGTCCTCTCAGCTATCCGCAACATTCGCTACATGAGTGGTGGCACTGCTACTGGTGATGCCATTACTTTCACAACCAGAAACGTGTTTGGGCCAGTGAAAGATGGTGCTAACAAAAACTTCCTCTTTGTTTTGACTGATGGTCAGTCTTATGATGATGTCAGAGGACCTGCTGCTGCTGCACAAAAAGCAGGTAAATAATGTATGTTTAAAAGCAGTGGAAGTTGATTCATCCTATTTCTGCTGTGCTGTAAAGACTTTAAAGTTTGCAAATATAGCCTTAGTGAGTGAATTAAGTATCGTACCTGTTTCAAATTCAGCAAATGTAAGCCCTAAGGAACTGTTTTCCATTAGGATGAAAAAAACCCCGCACTTCCATGGAGCCAAGTATAAGTAGGCAGGTATGGAAA